GCAGAGCCCCTGCGAACTCAGCACAGGGCTTGGGGCGCAGGCTCCGGGGCGGGAAAGGGGGGACCCGGGGCAAGAAGGAAGGGGGACCCGGGCCGGGAAAGGGGGGATCTGGGACAGGAAAGGGAGAATCCAGGGCGGGAAGGGGGGGATCCGGGCCAGGAAGGGGGACCCGGGGGAGGAAGGAAGGGGGATCCATCCGTCTCCRGGCCCACTGGCAGGGGAGCAGGGGGAAGGCGCCGGGGCGCAGAGGGGCGCAGGGCCGTTAGCGGGCAGGAAGGTCCCGCTCGGAGCTGCCCCGGAGCCACGCGCCATCCCGCGCCACGAAGCACACAGGCCGCGCTTGCTTTGCTCCTTTTAATGCAAAAAAAAATATATAGAGCCAACCGCGTCTCCCTGCCGCCCGGCGGCTCCTGGCTGCTGTTCGGCTTCACGTTCCCCAGCAGCCCCCCCATCCACTTCCCCCTTCCCGCTTCCCCAGGGTGCCGGAGCAGAGCCCCCGGCTCCCAGCGACAGGAAGAGAAGGGGAGAACGCAACACACGGAAACAGAGGCAGCAGCGGGAGGGAAGCAGGGGTGCCCGCTCGGAGCGCCGCGCGCCCCAAAGCCGCAGCACAACATGCTCTGCGCCGCCCCAGGCCCGCGGCCCCTCCAAGCACAAGGTGATTTTTTTTTCCTTTTTTTTTTTTTTCTCCTTTTTTTTTTCTGCCTTTCTGCACAAGGCTGAAGCGAGCTTGGCGTTTCCGAACAGCGCGTAGCACCAAGTCTGGCCTGGTGGGGCACGGGAAGGAGAGCAGGGGCCGCGGGAAGAGGCCGGATGGGCACGGGGGACCCAAGGCCAGCRAGAGCAAGGCCAGGCCTTGGCATGGGGCAAATCCGGACAGGGGAAGGGAGCAAATACAAAAAAAAATAAAAATAAAAATAAAATAAATAAAAAACACTTGCGTGGAGGAGAACACAAACAGTAAAGCCAGAGTTACTGTTTTCTTCCCCAAAGCAATAATAATAATATTAATAATAATAAAAAACATCCCAGCTGAGGTGACAGCAAAGAGTCCAACTGCATTTCCTTCCCTGGAGGGAAATAAAGATACGGATGAGGCAGCTGCTCCACGGCAGAGCCACCTCCCATGGCCACATCAGCGCTCCAGTCGCTGGTGCTGGCTCCTGGGAGCGCGACGGAGCCGGGAAGGGGCCGGGAAGCGCCTGGCGCTCGCCCTGCGCCTCCCGCCGCCGCAGGAGCCTCTGCACAGCCGGGATCGTTCAGTGCTCCACGGAGCCTCTCCCAGGTTTCTCCGCCATTGTTTGTTCTTTTTTTTTTTTTTATAAAAAAAAATATATATAATATATATATATTTATATACTGTACAGTGAAAATATCCATGGAAACAAAAGGGGTGGCTGGGAGAAAAAATAAAAAAAGCTTAACAAAAAAGCCCAAAAAAGAGAAATCCCCAACTCTTCCCCAAAGCACCGCTGGCCTTTCCCTGCTAGTCCTCCAAGACGACAATCTCCACATTATGGACCTGGTGCTGATGGTCCTCCACCTCTCCCACCACTTTCTCCTCAGTCCTCAGCTCCGTCTCCAGGATGACGGCTTTGCCCTGCGAGCCGTCGGGATCCACCTCGGGATCAGGCGCCGGGTCGATCTCTATGATGGTCTGTCCGTCATCCGAGGTGCCCTCCACGGCCTGGATGGTGGAGGCGAGGCCGGACTCCATGGCCACCAGTTCCACGGGGTTGACGACGGCAGCCACGTTGGCCAGGGCGCCGCCGTCCTGCACGGCCGCCGAGCTGAGCAGCGCCAGGCTGGGCGACGGGTGCAGGGCCACGGCGTCGGAGGCGCCGCTCTTGCCCGACGACACCACGGTGGCGTAGCGGAAAAGCTGGGAGCCGCTGGGCAAGGTGTGCACAGTCACCGGGCTGGAGCCCTGGCTGATGGTTGCCACCGGGATGTTGCCCACAGAGAACTGCTGCCCGACGGGCGCCAGGGTGATGGGCGAGATGACGGTGAACTGGGGCTGCTGGACGGGGGCGGAGGGGCTGAGCACGGTGGCAGAGGCCGGGCGCTGCAGCCGGGGTCTCTTGGGGGGCTTGGGAGCGCCGACGGGCATCAGCACCACATTCTGGATGCTCTGCGCCTTGGCCTTCTGCTCCCTGGCCAGCTTCTTCTGCTCCTCCAGCTGGCGCTCCAGGTCTGCAAAGAGAAGCGAGTGGGGCGCGGGGCTCGGGCAGCTGCGCACTGGGGTCCCACAGGGCCGCTCCGCCCGCCCATGCCACGCTCGGTGGGCACAGGCTCTGTGATCTTAGCRGGATCCCTTTGCAAGGAGCCCAGCATCTGCCCCTGGGACATGGTGCAGGGCTGGCTGGCTCTACCCAAACATCTCCTCCCTCCAGCCTTGTCTGCATGGACACTGGGGGTCACAAGGAGCCCAGTAATGTCCCCGTTACGCAGGGCAGCCGGGGACTAGGACATCCCAGGTAAGAGCAGGTCCTGCCGGACGCAGCTCTGCAGAACCCTCCCAGCTTCTTGGCTTCAGCTCAGGCTCAGTCACCCCAGACCCCAGGCAGCCTCACGCCAAGACAAGAGCTAAGAGCCCCTCAAAGAAGTTCACTTGCTTCTCTGGCTGGCTTCGTACCTGCCAGAGCATAAAGGAACTGYTCTTCTCCTTGCTCGGTCTGGTTTTTCCTGTTGTCCAACACCTTCTTGACTGTGTCCATTAGGCCAAACGTGTGAGCAACATTATTCAAGACAGCAGCATCTGCAAGGAAAGTCYAGGTGGATGAGGGCTTGGTCCCACCGGTGGCCAAGACAGACYCCCAGCAGATGCTCCTATGTGAGACACCTGCAGCTGCTTTCCATTGACCCGGCTCTGCTCTTCCCAAGGGCTGGCCCAGCTCCCTCATCCTCCTGCCATCCATGRACTAAAGAATCGTCACCAATCAGGTGACAAAAGAACTGAGACAGTGATGTGCCACCCAAGCAGCGYAGAACTGCTGCATATGAAAACATAATTTGCAATCATAGAGAAACTGACCTACAAACCATCACCCCGTGCTGCTGGCAGTGTCATTGACGTGCCAGCTCCACGAAAGCTGGGCACAATTTCCATTACAATCCAGCGACTTCAATCACTCACAACTTCCAAAAAACTCCTCAGAGATCTACCAGCCCAAGCAGAATTAAAGGAAAAATAACCTGGGTGAAATGAAGTCTGTGGCCACATGGGTGTTCTTGCAGTAAGAGCGCCAACCTGAGCTGCGCTCAAAGCTCCCAGGGCCCAGTGCTAAACTGCCTTAGGGAACTTATYCAAGTTAAAAATAATCCCCCAAAAGGGGAGGGGAGTTATTTTGAACCCAGATCAGTTCCCCTTCTGGTTCAGCCCCCAAAACGGGTCTCGTGGTGCAAGCCAGGGCAGAATGAGAAGCAATAGGGCARGACCTATTGAAGTTGGCACTGCTCTGGGGAGAGGTGTTTGAACACGTGCAGCCCCCAAATCCAATCTGGACAGGTCTTAACAGGCACGGGGGGCTAGGGACAGCTGCCCCACAGTCTCCCCACAGCGCTACCATCACTTTGCTCATGGGCAGCCCGTGTCCTTCCATCTCACAGGGCTTTCAGGAAACGCACTTCATGGGCGGGCAGGCTGACATCACACCCAGGCTCAAATCCCACCGCTTAGCTAACRAGCAGCAACTTGGTAGCCCATCTACCATCCCAACACAATGCCTTCACATTGTGAGGCTGGGTCCTTGTCACTCGTTTTGATTTTCATTTCCTTTTGCCTGCAGCTGCCTCAGCTGCATCCCTCAGCCACTGCCAAACCTCTGGCTAACCTACCTGTCATCTGGAAAGGAGACTGGCCCAGCCGCTGCTGAACACCTCGTAGCACCTCTTCTATCTCCTTCTGGATGTTGCAGACAACCTCTTCCATCAGCCCCACATCAGCTATTCCCTTCCAGAACATCAGCGTGTCCTCTGGCACAGGGAAAGGAATTGGGAAGCGGAAGAGGTCAACGCACATGCACAAGCACTTGGTGTTTTCCCTCAAGGCTACCTTAACYCCCTGCCAAGAGCAGCAAGCTGACAGGCAAGAGTAACTCTGCAAGGCAACTTCTGATGTGGCCGTCGGGGCAGACATGATAAGCAAAAAACAACAGAAGAGACAAAAGGAAACAAAGGGAGTAGATCACTAGCAGGTTTTCAAGCAGCATATGACTTCCAAGGCAACACTCTGTTCATCTTCCCAGGACGCAAAGCTCACAGTCTTAAGTTGAGGGAACCACCCAAGCAGATCCCTAGAAGGGCAGGGAGCTGCGSCGGAAGAGACGCGGCCAAGAGGGATGACAAGGGAACTAACACGGGATACTCAGGTGCTGCTGCTCAAGGCTGGCAGGTAGTTCCAGCCTTCAAATGAACCAAAGGAGCCCTCACTGCACCTAGAGACAAGTGACAAAAGGGATCCCCCATCAACCGCCAGGCCGGGGCTCAGGTCCCCCTCTCCCTGCAGCAGCAGGAAGCTCTGCTCGACAGGGACTTGGGAAGGGCTGGGACAGCCAAGGAGCTGGGATGGCTCTATCGCTGCCTCAATGCCCCCASTTCCCAGGCTCCACCAGGCGACAGGCAAGGAGAGCAGGACACAAGCCGCTGCCTGAGCTTACCCGAGATCTCCTCYGTGTCCTTTTTCATGCCTTCCTCAGTGGCCATGGTGACGGCAGCCGTCAGAGCCGAGTTCCACTCGATCCCCTCCTCCATGCTCTCCTCTGACAGCGCAATCTGGGTGATGCTCCCTGCGGGGAAGGCAGCGTCAGCACCCAAAACGCCAGCCCCGAATCCCCGCTTCCCTCTCCCTTATGCTTCTCAGGCTCTTATTCCATCTTGCAGAGAGGTGGTTTGTGCCTGGCCTCTTTAAACCAAATTAGCTAAAAGGAATTATAGCTGCTTCTCATTGGAACGGTAATTGTGAAAGGCTCTGGGGCTGCTGAAGGGGAAACCACGTGCCCTCCGAAAAGCAAACTGGATTTCTAGCACGGTGCCAGAATCAAAAAAGGGAAGAAACAAGTGTCAGCCCAGCCACCCAGCAACTCCCTACCCCTTGTCTCATCACCAGAAAGTTCTTAAATCAGAAATGTCCTCATCGCTCAAAAAACAATAGGGTTAGGAACCAACCTAGCTTATAAAAGGAAGGTAAATCTGACTCAATTCAAATTTCTGTGTCAAATTTAAGACTCCTCAGCCAATGTATAGGTACAGGAAGGTGTGCGGTCATGTGGCCAAGGTGCTTTTCWGGATCTTCACCTCAGCCTGGAGACTACTCTGCCATCTCATTCATGCAGGGTCCTAGCGTGTGTCCCAAACAGAGGGACCTGGGGAGGGTGCAGAGCACACGTGTGGCAACCCAATTTGCCAAGTCCAAGGAGGGAGGGAATGTCACGAGTGCCCAGTCACATCCTCCCTACCGTCCGCGGATGGCGGGGTCTGCACCACGCTCTGCTGCCCGGGCACCGGTGCCCGGGCGCTGCTGATGAGGAGGTCGAACTTGGTGCTTCGGCACGTGTTGGTGCAGACCTTGTCGTGCTGGTAGAAGTCGATTTGCCCCGAGTCCATCATCTTCCTGTGCAGGGAGTGGGGAGAGAACCAGGCTCAGCTCAAATCTCAGCCTGGAGACAAAAGGGAGTATTCCACACAGGAATACTACGGCCATGGGAAGGAGAGAGAAAAGCAAACCCAGCTCTGCCCTGCACACAAAACATCCCCCGAAAACACCGTCCTCCAGCTCCGTACACGGCTCCATTCCCAGGCCAGCCCCACTCCATCCCCACCGAGCACGACACCCATACAAGGCCGCTTGGGTATAGGATGAAACATCTTTACACTTGGGCTGTGGGGCCAGGATCCCAGCTCACATCCCACATCTGAGGATCCCAGATCCCAGGATCCCAGCGCTGCAGGCTGCTGCCCAGGTGTCGGGAACCTCCAAGAGATCTGCTGGGGACTGTAAAGCAACCCAGACACCTGCTCGGGCCCTCGCTGCTGCAGACAAGGCTCTGAGGCAGGATGCAACAGGGAACAGATCAAATACCTTAGCATGATTCCTCCGAGACGAATGGCTCTCTTCCAGTCCTTTAGGGTAGACTTGCCAGCCAGGTGAACAAAATGCTTCGGGCTGATCAGCTGGTCATTGAACTAGCAAGGAGATAAACAACAGCCCAGTAAGCATAGGGGAACAACACTTGTGGAGACCGCGTTGGACATCCAACCCCTTTCAGCTCATCTACGCCCCCATCTTTACACAGAAAGATGAGCTGCTTCCCAAGTCCCTGTCAAGAACAACTTTAACCCCTTCAACACAGCGCTGCTCATAATAAATAACAGAACAGGTGTGTTTGCAGAACAACCCGCCGCTCATCGACATTCAACACACATCATGTRGCTGGGAGCAGCCCTGAAGGCTTCGGTACGGAGCACGAACAGATTAGCTCCTTAGTGAACATGTACAGTCACCCTGAGATCATTACAGGAGACTGACTACATCRCATGGCCAAGCAGCCTGTGGCTGACACAGTTATTCCCTCAGGCACCTGCTCTGTCCTGCTCCAGTGACCGAGACAGCTCCCGCTCGGGGCCGGCCATGGAGCGAGGGCTCCACAGCGGCCTCTGCACACGAGCTCTTACACTAGCATGTTGCCAGGTGGAGAAGGCAGCAGCGAGACGTCTCCTCCTGATGCATCCCGTTCCCTGAGCACGTGGCAGCCTCAGGAGCGGGACACAAGAGGAGCAAGACGAGGCCGAAGGGCTCCGGCAGATCCCACATCCCCTACCTGCTTTCAGTTCCAAGCCTCTCATTGAGTCCCAGATACAACTTCACTTTAAAGAGCAATCAAGAACAGCACAAAAAAATAAGGTGGGTGAAATAATTCACTCCTTATCTTGCACTTTTCTTTTGCTGCTTCTCGTGCTAAAACCAACTTTAGAGTTAACAGTCCAGCACACTGCAAATGCAAAATCACCCAGCTCCAAGGCAGGGCTCAGATGAAACAGTAGGAAGGTCCACGAAGGTGGAGGCCGAGCGGCCAAGAGTGGAGCAGGAATCCACTGCCCGCAGTTCATCACCTTGACACACTTGACATTGATTCCCGGGCAGACAAACTTCTTCCACAGCAGGATGGCTTTGCTCTCGCCACACGTGATGGGATAGGCGATCTCAATCTCCTCATTTGTTTCAATGGTGCTGGGGTCTGTGGGAAGAACAGAGAAAAAATTAAACCTTCCGCCCAGGAGGGTCCAATCCTGCAAGGCAGGAGCCTAAAGCTCTCAAGTTGCGAGGTCTAGACTCAGGAAGCCAAAATAAGGGCTGTTCCAACTCAGGATCAGTCCTCGGGGAACCCGGCACCAGGATTCCGACGTGTCCGCAGGGAACAGAACAGAGCTCTAGGCGCTGTTGCTAGGCCTGAGCTAACAGGAGCCACCTCCGCGCGACTCCTCTGGCAGGGGGGGCACCCGGCCACCCCCGGGCCCCCTGAGCGTGCRCCCCAAGCCGAGGTAATGGCTACAGTCCATCTGTGACGGTGCTGGCGGAGCGGAGGAGGAAGCGGCGCTCGGTCGGACGTTCCGGGAGCGGACACAAGCGCGGCGCCGGCGCCACTCACCGATGGCCTCCTCCAGCTTGTGGATGGTGTGCGTCTCGACGGCCACCACGGCCGCGCCGCCCTCCGGGCCCTCCTGGTAGATCCTGCGGGGAAAGCGGCCGTGGAGAATCGCAGTTAGGAGTTGGCATCCGGAACGCAGGGTTAAGACGGGGCTCGCCTCTTCCTCGCCGGGCCCAGAGGGACACGAATCTTTTGTTTTATACAGCTTCAGTTACAGGCTTTGGGGTTTGGGGTGGGGTGATCTTTCTTTTTGGCATATTCACAATGCAGTGGGGATTCCACAGACCACAACACGCGGGGATGTTCCCAGGCCTCGGGGCTGCCGGGACAACTGAAACCGCTTCCCGGGACATTGTCCCTCTGTTCCCAGGGCTGGGATGTGCCCCAGGGGAAGGGGCCCTGTCGTGTCCCCTTCACGGCGCAGGGCCCGGCCGCACTCACCCCTGCGCCACGGGCTGCAGCTGCAGGATCACTTGGGTCTTGGCGTCCTCGGGGCTGCCGCCCTCGGGGCCCGCGCCCGGCACCACCACCACGTCGCCCACCGGCACGCTCACCTCCGCGTTCGCCATCTCTCGCATGGGGCGCCCGGCGGCTGCAGGGGAGAGGCGGCGCTGGGACGGGAACGCGGCCGCTCCGCCGGGAACGCGGCCGCTCCGTGCCGT